GGCACTTACACCCCCGGGCCCGTCGCCGTCCAGTCGGTAAACGTTTTCGTTTGGTATACGAGTGCTTGAGAATGACATTTGCATTTTCTACCAATTTATCGCTACTATTGTCCACATCTGCGCTCTCTGTCTTCACATCAATTTTAGACAACAGATCCGTCCCTTTAAGTGATAAACAAAATGGTTTTCAAATTAATGATAACAATACCATAAATACCACAAATGAATACCAGTTTTATTTGTATTATCCCCGGAATTAAGTTCGACTCGACTCTCGCTTTCATGAATACAATGAGATTCAACGCTAACTGTCTGTCTGTCCGTCGCAACTAATGTCCTAACATTTAGACCTTGCTCTTCACCGCAGATATCATCACATTTGTCACTATCTATTGGTTCAGTTTTAACCGCAATATCATTACTGTTATCACGACAAGTAGTCAAATGTGTGCGTTTGTGGTCATCAAACACTAGACTGTCAGTGCATTCAAAGAAACAGTTGTATTGTTCGCATATATAGATGCGGGAGATCTGTGAGCACTCATTCTGCGAGTGTTGCATCAGTTGTTCAAAATCTTCAAATACGAGCGAACACTGCAAACACCTATGGGTTGAGTGCCGTCTCATCATATGGTTGTTGTAGGCCGTCTCGGAGGCCAACATAACGTTACACTTATTGCAATAACTTCTGTAATGACTAGTGTTGTGGTCACTCTTTTTGGACAATACAGACCTCAATACAGAGCCAATTGAATCGCCATTTATTGCTGACATTTCATTAGATTTTGTGACATTCTTTTGGTTCAATAGATTACTGCCTAAAAGTGTTTCCAAATTTAATAAATAAATCAATTGTTTCTTAAATATTAGTAAAATTCATACCAAAAACAAAATCATTGTCTCCGTTGCTAGCGTTGGGTCGAGTGCTTAGACTCTCGCTTTCAATCACTTCAATGACTGAATCAATTGGCTTATCAGTGGACCGTTGGTTAGCCACGGGATTCATGGGAATCGCCAACTCCTCAGACACCATTCGTCCGGAATAGGAGTCAATCATTTCCATAGAGAGCACATCATCACTACCATGGAGTCCGTTGGCAATCGTGCTATCAATGAGCTCAGCGGTGGTCTCCCTATCATCTGGTACAGAGTTGAAGGTAATGGTATCTGTTGTGTGCGGTTCGTGTTGACTGTTGTGGCTAAACATTTGCACCAACACATCCGTTTTGAATGGGCAGCCAATCAAACCGCACTTATAGTATTGCTTCTCATATAAGGTATGAACGGACTCGAAGTGTCGGCGCATTGACTTGAGATGCATATAAGTTTGTCCGCATATCTCGCACTCGAATATATAGCTCTTGAGACGCTTTAGCTTACGGCTCAAGTGGTTATTAATATGTCGAGTGATATATGACCACAACTTGTGAGTATATTCACAGTTAGGGTAATAGCATTCATAGCGATTCAACTGATTTCGTGTTATCAGGTTTGCTACGGAAAGACACAAACATACAAATCATTATAACTCTAACAAAACAGACAATACAAGTGAATGTCGCTCACACTGGATGTGTTCCACATTCATGTGAGTCCTCAGGGATACCATCGATGCGAATGCTTTTCCGCATTTATGACACTTTAGTTTGAATTTGGCTTCAATACAAACACAAAACATTACCGTAATCTCAATAATAAGCACATAAGTGGTGGCAAAATGATTACATAAGTGGTGGCAAAATGATTACATAAGTGGTGGCAAAATGATTACATAAGTGGTGGCAAAATGATTACATAAGTGGTGGCAAAATGATTACCCGTTAAGTTTTTATGGAGATTCATGTGTTGATTGTATGCGTAAAAGTTGTGACATTTAAACGGACACTGATTACAGCTTAAATCGGATCGCATTGAATGCATGGACTCCTTATGCCTTTTAATGTCATTACCACTGATGGACTGGTAGTCGCAGTCACCGACCTTACAGCGGATCAAAGGCTTCGCATTACCGGTAATACTGTCTGCGAATAAATCACACAATTAATACACAATAAGAGGTATTCTTAAGACAATTACTACTTATATGACAACTCTTGATGTGAAGCTCGACGAGTGAGACATCGGCGAAGACTTTGTGGCATTGATTGCATGTGAGGTTGAGGTGAACGCATTGCTTGTGTCGGTTTAAACTCCGAGTGTATTGAGTCCTAAACTGACAGTCCGTGTAATCGCATGAATACCACGGCTTTATGGCCATCGAACCACTTCCTGATGGCAACACATCTTCACCGGCAAAACAACAACACATTTAATGATAATCACCACAAGTTGTGGTCGCAAATGAATACCGGAATTGGGATCCAATTGGGTATCGATATTGGGTTTGTATTGATTGTATTCAGCCATGATTTGGTCAAACTCTCGGTCCAGTCGATGACACTCGCGTTTGGTGTCCAACCGGTCGGT